GATCTCCTGGAGGAGGAAATGGCAACCCACTGCAGTCTTCTTGCCTGGAATCCCATGGACAAAGGAGCCTGGCAGGCTACACCCCATGGGGTCACAAAGAGTTGGACACGACTTAGTGACTAAACAACAAAAGCCAATTTTGCAGCTTCATCCACCTTCTTCTCCAAGACGGTGGGGCACGGGGAGGCCCAGGCCTGGGACCAGGACTTGGCTCAACACAGTAGCCTGGAAAGGCCAGTCCTCCCAGTTCTCCTCTGTTAAAAGGTGCTCCAGAGAGGAGTTACATAAGCCCTGACCTACAACGGTTCCTCCTAGAAGTGGCTTCCACTGCTCCTCAGACTTTAAGGGTGTTTCAAGCTGATGACGCTTTGGACCTTCTGGGCCCAACCACCTGTTGACGAAGGTCAGGTGTCTTCAGGCATCTATTGTCGCCTGAGAATAAGATTCCCCTGGATCCCACCTTCCAGAACTCAATCCCAACCTGGTGTCATCGTACCCCAGCCCGCACCCACCAGTGCTTGGCTCAGGGAAGGAGTCGCCACCAGTCCCACAAGATGAGGTCCAGGACTCGTCCTGCCAACCCGGAAGGAAGGCAGAGCCTTCAAACAGGAAGTGAATCCAAGTTTCCCCAAAGTCGGAAGCCCCAGCATTTACATTTCTCCATTTTCAAAACATTCAAGAAAAACCTCCTCCGTCCAACACACGTACGAACACACAGGCCACAGCACATGCCTAAAGCAGACAGCAAGGCAGCGTGACCACACAAGAGTCCCACACACGGACCTGCATTCTCGCCTCCCTCTGTGTAGACTCACTGTCCTTACAGCTCAAGTTCTGTGAGTCTGTGTACACACATCACACAGGCAGCTTGTAGGGCAGCGTTTGCCCACCTTCCTATCTCCCTCCTACAATGAAACCCAACCATGAGAGATGCAGCTTTAGCAGAAGGGCCAGGACCTTTGGGGTCTTGCCATCACAATTTCAATGCCAGCCTTGGCAGCAACAGAAAACATCCCTGTGACGAGTGCGAGCTGGCAGGGCAGACAACGTGGTGTGTTAGGTCCTGGAACTTGAACGAGACACGCCAAGGGAGATTTCCAGACGTGTGCACGCCTCCAAGAACTTCTAGCAGAGGGAGAACTCGACAGCACGCTGAGTAAAGGATGGCATTTATGTCAGAGCTTATAACAGGGAAACATGCTATGTGCTGATGGTAACGTACTAGAGGGGTAACATCTTGATGCAAGAACGAGGACCCCCCAGACACCGCGGCTCAGCGGTCTGCCTGAGGTGTGCCCCCAGCAAAGAGTACAGAGGGGACATCAGTCCTTCTCTTTGATGAGTTTTCTCTTTTCCTTTCTCTTGGAGTACAGTTGCTTTACCACTAATGTTGTGCTTGTTTCTGCTGTAGATGATTTACTTTTTAAAAGAAGCCAAGAAATCAAAGGCAAATACAGAAAAATGAAATGTCAAAGCAGAGGAAAAGTTCATAGTGAAAAAAACAAAGCCCCAGGGGAAAGGTGACCCCATCTTGCAAGCACGCCCATCTCAGCCCTGCAACCCTGGGGTGGGGGACACAGACAAATGGAAGCCTTGTCTCCTACTGGCCTCTGTTGTTGCTCACTCAGGCGTGCCTGACTCTGTGACCCCATGGACTGCAGCGTGCCAGGCTTCTTGGCTATCTCCCAGAGTTTGCTCAAATTCATGTCCACTGAGTCGGTGGTGCAATCCAACCAGGCCTCTCTCTGCAAGCTACTTTTTTAGAGGTAAGGGATCTAAGTATTGTATGGCAAGAAATGTTATTTACATAGCTTGAAACCCACTTCTTGGAAACATCTGTATGTTTACTGCCTCAACCAGATACAGCGATATTAAGTTGTTAAAAACTTGGAACAGCATGTGCCCTCGTATGGCCTCTCGGTGCAAACACTACAAGGACAAACACAAAAATTTTGAGCACTTTATAAAGTTCACTGTCAAGAACCTAAGCACATATTCCGATGTACTTACCTCCCTAAAATTCCACCCACTTGTCTGACAAAGGAACACTTTACCCAATTAAAAATTGAGATTCTTAAGCCATTTCCTCATTGTAGAATGTAGGATCTTGGTAAGAAACTAGTTTCTTAAAACGTGTAAGGAAATTCCCCAGTTAACCAACCAATTCCATGGGGGTGGGCGGGGGTGCTCACGGTCTAAGAGCATTTTTCCCTTGAGAAGATGAGAACTCAATTTGATAAATTAAACATGATCATTAACCTTTTACAAGAAATTCTGATTTTTATTTCAGTTATTTCACAAAACTTAGTTGATGGCAAAGTACAGAAGGGCATTTGAAGAACTACTTTGCAACAAAGCTTCCCTTTGCTTCTCAAAAGTTAGTTGGAATTTTTCAAATCAAGTATTTCCCTAAATTTAAATCAAAGTAGCTTGCTACACACCCTTGTATATTTATCTACATACTGCACATTTAAGGATACACACTTAGGATTAAAACAGCACACGATGAATAAGCAAGTTTGCCCCCAAAACTACATTAAATTCTTAATGTAACTCCCGACAAACCTCTACTTCTTCAAACAAGAAATTCACTGAGGAATTTTTACTGCTAGAAAAGTCAAATGGACAAGTACCTGCAATTCTTCATAACTCTTTTTGTAACTCAGTTGTCAGTTATTTCTTTCCCCTCCAAAATCTACATTTTTCAAGTTCCTTAGGTGTGTACATCACTTGATCTCTTTTGTTCTCTGTAGGATTATAAAGTGAAAGTGAAGTCGCTCAGTCATGTCCGACTCTTTGCAACCCCATGGACTGTAGCCTGCCAGACTCCTCTGTCCATGGGATTCTCTAGGCAAGAATACTGGAGTGGGTCACCGTTTCCTTCTCCAGGATTATCAACAGTATCACAATCTTAGACTATGAATGATCAAAATCCATACACTTGGTTTAATTAAATATTTAAGGACCATGTAGATTAAAGACTGAAGTCACACACTGTTCCTCCAGCTGTGAAGGTCACACATAAGCCAGTTTCTGAGTTCCACAGTCTCCTGCTTATGTGACACTGATAAATGTGTTTGGCTATGCTCATCCTGTCTTTAAGAGCCAAGATTGCTAGTGGCCAGTTATTTCTTTTCAATTCTACGGGAAATAAAGGCAAGAAAAAAGGCCTTAGAAAATTCAGACCACAAGGTTCCAAAGTTCCAGTCTGCCCTCCGGCGTGTGTGGGCTTTGCATGAATGGATACAACAGAGCTGATGGGACTCAGTCATTTCATACAACTGACTGTTGGACACCCCTGGGTCATGGTTTCCTGGGGGAATCTTGGAACCCATCCATGCTCGGGCACAGAGGGAGGGCTGCATCATTTGTGCAGTCGACCACAGGCATCACAGAAGGACCACACCAGAGACGGTGCTGACTAGGACAGGACACAAGGCACCCCCTCCACGAGATGGACCTCAGTGGGTGAGAGCCCAGGGTCTAGGAGCACATCATCAGGATCCAACGCCAGGATCCAACGCCTGACCTGTTACCTAGAGCACTTAACCCTGAGCATCCTTCACTTCCTTAAGCCTGTCTGGCCCTCCCCGACAAAGGTACTAAGAACAGTACCTGTATCACGGTACGGGGATGAGGACTACCAGTTGACCAAAGAGTAACACCTGGTACACCGTGATAAAGATCTTGAAAACCATTCTGTGCTTTGAGAAACATGAGTGAAACACATTTCTCAGGTGGATAATCACTCTGGGTGTCTGCTAGCAAAGCAGTTATTAAAGCTGAACCTCAAAACATTTGTTAAATCACTCATTTTTGGAGAGACAATTTAGATCCTTTTGCAAGATAAAAAACTTCACTGGTGTTCTAACCAACCTAACTTCACAGACAGCTCGTGCAGTAGCAATCCCTACAAATGATGCCTGCAACTTAGTAAAGGTTAACATACTAAGAATTCTGAAAATGCAGGTTACCTATATTGTTAAGACTTCAGTCTTAAAACCGATTTTGTACCTTGCTTTAGCATTTAAAGCAGTTTTCTGGCTGCAGATTAAAATGACTGGAGCTTAAAAACAAAAGATCATGCCAAGTCTCCACTCCCCACCAATTAAGGGGTATCTCCGCAGGTACCAGTCAAGTGTCAGGACACCTTCTGAAGTGCATCACACCCACTAATGCATGGGTCTGGTCACCCACCACTGAAATCTAACATAATAAATAGCTATCTTAGTAGTTTCCTACACCTTTTCCAAGGTGGGTGTTATTAATACACACCAGAACAACTGGAAAACAAGAAAACCAGTTTTAAAACAAGAGCAATGTGGTATTAGGGAACGTATGAATAATTAGAAAGGGAATTACCTGGCTAGTCAAGCTTTACACCATAATGCTCAAAACCTTACAGTCAAGAATGTGATCATAAAGATACTTTAGGATCACAAAAAGCACTTTTGCAGTCACTTATACTTGGTTTTCAATAAATCTGAGAAAGCTTAAGTTAAAAAAAGATGCAAAGTTGTATAATTTATGGTTATGCTTGATCAGTACAATTATAGGGAAACAGTCACAGAAACTGATGCTGGATGGCAGAACTTAGCATTAGTTTTTTAATATAATTTATTTTCCAAATTGCCTAAAATGCACACCGCGTGATTTCTACAATCAGAAACGCAGGAAGACCAAACTCTCTCCCTTTGAGGGTGATTCTCACTTCTCTGCGCCCACCCCACAGGCTGGGAGTTCCCAAGAGGCCACGGCTGCCCGGAGCTCTCCAGAAGCTCGGCTCTCAGGGCGGGACTGGAGTGCAGCTGTCCCGTCTCCTACCCAAAGCCCTTGACCTCCAGGTCAAGGTCACTAAGAAGACCACCTGCCAGCGGACTCGACTCCCAGTGAGTGACAGGCCATCACGCCCTGACGCAACCTGAGCACGCGCATGGCCGTCCTCCATGGAGATCAAATCCCCTGTTGCTGTTTTTTAGAAAGGAAAATGACACTTCACCACACTTTTGAACAGTTTATTTATTCACACAATAGTTTATCTCCCTTTGAAAGCTAGCATATGAAGATCACTTATTTACCTTGTTTTGTTGTTTTCCCACATGGTAAAAGCTTGATCGTCCCCTAATTCTCATAAAGGTCAATGTTTTAAAATCTATGCACATACCAGAGTTACCGAAAGCAATGTGCAAAGCTCTGGGAAAACTAGTGCTTGAATGTTTTTAAAGTGGCAGAAGATCACAATTCAGGGATAAACCCTGTAAGGAAATGTATTTTTTTACCTTATGGGTAAAACTTGTTTTCAAAGTGATATATTTTGAATGATTACAATCCAGAACTAAATCCCATGGCAGACAACATCCGTTTTAGGGGAACTTCTGAGCTAAGATAACAGAAGGAGAAGTTAAGAATATTACTCTTCCCTGACGAGAATTACCAACTTTGATACATTTTTCCAAATGTCATTTTTTAAGGTGACACATGACACACTCAGAATATAACTCTTAAATCTGTCTCTTGTAAATACAAGAATGGGCAAAATCACGTACATTAGTTACAGAAAGAACGCAGGAAGGCGGTGCACTTAGCATCACGTAAGAACGTTAAGGCCTTAGTTACGTGGCTGTGGCTTCAGTGATGTCAACAGTGCGCTCCCCTCACGCTTACATTAAAAGTAAGCAGGCAGGCAGAGCAAAGATTTCTAAACATGTAAGGGTTAAAGATAGTTTAGCCTATATATTACCAGTCAATTAATACAGTCGGGACTCTTCTCAAGTAACTGTCATAAAGCAACCAAATCAGACTTCATACAGAAATGAGGCGCCTCCCATACGGTCAGAGTGCTTCCTGGAATGTAAAGCAGAGGAAGAGCCCACGTGGACTTTTATGTTGTAAACGGTTCCCAGCTAAGACCAACCACTGCATCACGCAGTCTGTGAAACGCCTACCAGAAAATGCATTTACCTCTTACCAGTTGGGAGCGGGTAGTCCTAGCCTAAACATTAAAGCCAGACGTGTAGGTGAGACTATTCCATGGCGGCCTGTGGTTTCATCTCAGGACAGGAAATTTCATAGTTATTAAACAGCATATTAATGTCCACTATTCCTGTCATGTCAAAGTTATCAGAAACAGACAGGAAGCTGGAGTCCAGAGAGCAGGCTTCCTGGTCTGGCCCTGCCTCCACCTCCCGTGAGACATAAGGGAAGTTCTCAGTCCCCAAAAAGGCCTCAGAGCCCTCAACCAGAAAACAAAGGAGCTAAACAAAATGAACACTAACTACACAGGATTCCCATCAAATGGGATTCTGCTAAATTTAGCTTGAAAACTGACAGGTCTGAAACTGCCGGCCTGATGCTCATCACTAGTAACACTGATCACAGGGAGAGATTTAGGCCAGGGAGTGCCTGCTTCTGCACTGACAGGGCAGGATGGCAAGGCTGCTGCCAGCGTGCGTTCCCAGGTTCTAAGCAGAAAGAGCATCCACCCTGGGCCCTGGGCAGGCAGGCGGCTCCAGAGACATGTGTGTGTTCTCGTAACTCATGCACACAGGCAAAGGGGTTTTCTAGAAGACACCATACAGCACATGGACCTGACAAGCCCAAAACACATCTGAAATGAAAATGCAACCAAATACTTCAGGCTGTTTCTCTCCTTCATAAAATGCACACACAGACGTGGGGCCAACATCCTTCACTACACGCCAGGTCCCCAAGTCCAACTTCCCTTTCAGATATCAGTGCTTCTTTTACAAAACCAACACCTATTTTCAAAACTCAAAATTTGCTTGGATTAGATTATACTTAGTAGAAAAAGTCAATCTATTTTTTCTAGTTTCAAGATTTCCTATGCCAACACAGAAGAACTAAATGAGACATAAGACTTAAGTGCAGGGAAGTATACCAGACACTGCCACGCACTTACACTGAAAACCCACTTCACGTGGTTGACACAGAGACTTGCAAAGAAGGTCATTTTTTACAAAGGAATTGCCCAGGCTTACTTGGTAATACCAACATTCCATAATAGATGTTACCTCACATGTCAAATTGGACCAGGGCGGGGGGGAGCCGCAGGAGTACTTTTAAGTATTATTGAGATGCTACAAAATCACTAGGCTGGTCAAAAAGCAGTGATTAGAACCAAGGAAAATTAGTCTTTCTTGAGAAGACAGACACTCAAGAACCTAAGAACAGGATAAACAGAATCGCGCCACAGGGCAGACACATAAACTGACTAACATTACAGCACTTTTAAAAATTCTCATGATATTTGCTTATTTTGTATTATCTTGAAGACAAACGGATTATGACCTTCCAAAATACCAAAAGTGTCCTGAAATCTTATCAATTCTTTTCCTTAAAGGAATGAGGCCTTTGAACAACAAACACCATGACACCTCCAAGGGTTTCCGTGAGGTAAATCATGTGTTTCATAACCCAGATCGCCACACAGCGCGCTCCCTGGCACCCGCCTCAGGACACGACAGACACAACAAGCTATCGAGCAAGAATCTGTTAACAGTTTTATTATTTTTGTGTTAAATACCATGGGACAGGATTGGAAGGATGAAAAACTCAGTCAACAACTGCCTCACAAGGGATAAGAAAAATTCTGCCATGATATTAGCAAAGGTGAAGGAGAAAATTTACACTGTACGAGGCACCATTTCCCCACAGAATACCTCTTGGCATTTCCTGAATGAGTGGGATTAGCAATCTAAATAAATCATATTTCAAGAGGTAACAGCAACAGATAAAATTTAAAGGGATTATTAAAATAACATTTACAAGACTCTGAACAATTCTTGAACTCTTATTAAAACCACAAAGAAAGAACAATTCTTTATTTATGAATTTCATAAAGGACTGAATGTGCAATGACACCTGCTAGGGACGGTCTGGTGACGATGGCGCTGTCCGGAGCCCAGCACTCTGTTCTTACGTGTTTCTTTCTAACCGTGAGACCGTTACGGGCGAGGCCTACATGACGCTGTACACACAAAGCATGGTCACCGTGGGCCACATGGTCACCGTGGGCCACACTACCAGTGAGATGGCAGGTAAACGAATCTTTTCTGGTCAAGAGGAAAAAAAGAAATAGCACTCTGCATGCTTCACTCTACAAGATGAATTTCCCTAGAAAGAATCCAATGAAAATGGCTGCAATGACAACAAGAAGTGAAGGAAGAGGACTGGTGACGTTCTCTCTGAAGGACGCAGCTGAAGTGGATCCAGGTTTATCCGAATGTGCTACCTTCCTGAGCCGTAAGCCTTCATCCTAGGAAAAAACACAGGCACGAAAAGAGGTTTCAAAAACAAATGTGCATCAGACCACAAGCTACAAATCCAGAGACAGACAACAGAGCCATACACAGGTGACCCAGGGGGCCCACACTGTCCTCACAATGGGCCCTTCAGCCACAGACGACCAGAAACAGGTGAGTGCTAGTCAGAGTTCAGCTTACAGACACGTGGCAAGACAGCGCCACACAGGAAGAGCCGAGACCTCGCAGGACTGGGGGAGAGGGAGGGTGTGAATAAAGGGTTGGCACCTGGCCTGGACCAAGGAGGAGACACGGGACCCTGTTTTGTGAGAAAGGAGGGAGGGACACAACAGAGGGGGAGTGCTGCTCGCAGGACCCCACCCCCAAGGCTCTGTGCCTGGCCTGGAGACCACTTTTCTCCAAGGTGGTCTCCACTTCCAGACCAGAGCGGCCACTCCATCCTGACTGATGCTGTCTCATACAGCAATTTCTGACAGTCAGTCTGGGACTTTAGGGGACAAGGTTCTCAGTAACATGACAGCAGTCACTCAAAGTAGGAGGCTGTTATGACACTTCACCAGCTGCAGAATGACCCTGGAAAACACCCACACCTGTGCACCGAGGCAGCTGGCTTCACCTGGCCTATCACCCTGACCAGAGAAGGGGCAACCCTTCATTCACCTCCTCAGCACAAGCTGGTCTCACTTCTCGCACTGCCTCCCCTCGTGCGTTCACTAGTAACACCCCACACACTTCTCGTCATGCTGTCTACCCACATAACTGACTGCTCGGAGGCATTGTGGATTTGGGTCTTGTTCTGGTGAGTCCTATGTGGACACCACAGTGACTCTCGGTCCCAGAGAGAACTTTAAAAGGCACTCCTGATGACTCTGCCTCCCTGGGTCTGAGGTGTGGCCCAGACGTGAGGTAAGAGCTCACAGCAGACTCCGATGAACAGGCTGGATGAGGAAGCGGAGGTGGGGAGAGGTGAAAGGCAGTGGGGAGATCCTGCCCGGAAGGCTGCCACAATGCCAGCCTTGATGTGAGCTGTTAAAGGGCCAGAGGTCAACTTGTGCGCCAGCGGTCTTCAAGGCTCTTTTATCTTTTAAACAGCAGGATGCTTCTTCAAACAACATCTCCTAGAGAACATCAGTCAATTCCATCACCTGTCTCCCAGCCTGGTCAGCCTGGCAGTTCCTGACATTCAGGCCTCAGCTCTCTGAACACCTGGGTTCAGCAGGCCGAGGAGCAAACCGTCCACCAAACACAGAACTGAGGTCACAGCAAGTAAGGGGAAAGTGCAAACAACAGCCCCCTTAAAACGGCACGGGGTTGAGTGTGGTTGTGAAACAGAGACCATCTTTCCACCCTCCAAGTAGGTGCTCAGGGCAGGGGCCTCAGAGAGGCACTTGGGAAAGGGAGAAACAGCCAGAAAAATCATCTCAGCACAGGTCAAGCCACCTCACAGGAGCCTTCAATGAGAGCCATGCACGAAATTTAAAATTTTCTAAGCCCATTAAAAAGGTACCAAAATTGATATAATTAGCTAGCTTTAATAATGTATCTTTCACTGAATCCAATAGAATCCAATATTATTTCAACATAACAATACAAAACAGGGATTTGGGGCTTCCCTTGTGGCTCAGCTGGTAAGAATCCGCCTGCAATGCAGGAGACCCGGGTTTGATCCCTGGGTTGGGAAGATCCTTGGAGAAGGGAAAGGCTACCCACTCCAGTATTCTGGCCTGGAGAATTCCATGGACTAATTCACGGGTTGCAAAGAGTCGGACATGACTGACCAACTTTCACTCACTTATGTGACACACAGCACATCTTAATTCCAACTAAGCACACCTAAGTGCCCCGCCCTGGGCAACGGGGGCCCCTCGCGGGGACGGCACTGCTGCCGCAACCGACAAGACCAGGCCCGGAACTCGGAGGCTGCACCAGCGACAGAGGAAGCGGCAAGGACACGCCAAACGCCAGCATCCAGGCCAGCTGCCAGAAGGGCGTCAAGGCCATCACCGACAGCAGGGACCACACGGACACTCACCCTCAGGTGCCGGTTCTCCTCCGACAGCTTCATCATCTCCCCCTGCAGCCGCTTGCACTCCTCCATGAGCTTCCTCGTCTCGGTGTCATTGAGGGAAACACTGTGCGGCTTTGGCACGGGCCCATCCTGCTTCGCAGCGTTCAGGGGAACGGCTTTGCTGGGTTCCAAGTCATTCTGCATCACAAAGATAGCAGGCGCGGAGTTTGTCAACTGACAACTCTCCTTACAGGTTTTAAACAAAACTTTAATCTCCACATTCTTGTCCAAGAAATTATTTACACAGAAAGTTCTGCCAGTTTCAATTTCATTATTAAAGTTTTTAAAATGGACAACATCTGGTCCCCTATGACCAGCTTTACAGGACAATAGTGAGCATGAGCGGTCACCAAGGTCTGAACACGTGGTTCCCTGCTCTGCGTCCACCTCCCACCCCAGAGCAGCCAGCAAGCAGCTCATCGTCCTCCAAGATCCTTCCCTACAACACCTCAAAGTCTGGGAGAGCAAGAGTCACTCTGTGCGTTCACCCCTAAACCCAGCACCCCAGCCAGTGGTCACTCAACAAGGACACCAAGGGATGCCTGCCCGGATCCACACACAAAGTTCACAATCAGTGCTGATTCTGCAGCCTGAGTGAGTTGCCGGAGGGCAGGCGGATGTGGTCGCAACCACTCAAATGAAATCAGACCACCTAAGAGAAATGCGTGGGAGAAAACCCAAGTTCTGTTCACAGAAAAAGTCACTGGAGGATCTGGAGCCTGAAGGGGAGATAACAAGCACAGACACGTGTCGTGGGGGAAAAGCAGGCAGGGAGTCCACCTGATTGTGCTCAAACACAAGTGGCCCCACATTTATGCAGTAACGCTCCCTGCTGTAAGTCATGAGATTCAGTAGGAGCCAAGGTGGCGCTCTGGCACTTTAAATTACAAGCCCCACATCTGAAGTCTGGCCAGCACTGACCCATGTGACCCACTGGGCCCCTAGGTGCCTGAGCCTCAACAGGACACCTGTCCACCCGAACCTCCTCTCCACCTCAAGCACCCCAACAGGAGCAGCACAACAAGTGTTGTCTTCAATTAAAATTTTACTTGCTAAAAATGTAACTTTTCAGATAACAAGGTATAAACTGCTTTATTCAGATATAAAATTCTACCAGAAACATTTTCAAAATTAACTTTATGGCAGGTTCCACAGTACTCATCAGAGGATTTAATTACAGTCAACACCTGCCACAGCATCCCAGTTCCAGAATTCACACAGTACAAATGGGGACAAGACGTACTTCCTATGAAGGGGTTGTGCTCTGATTGCTATGTCTAGATCCATGTAAAAATGAACACCCCTGATTATACTGAGGTCCCAGTCGACACTCAGATCCCCATCTCTCTCTGAAGCATCCCCACCAGTCCAGGTGCCAAGAAGTTTGCTTCAGGATCCTCTCCGCTTCCGTGCGAGCTTCATTCTCCCCTCTCTCCCTTCCCAGCCAAGCCCATCAGGTCTGCTAAAAATCCCGTTTCAGATGCTGGTACCCTCCACCCGTCTCTCCTCCTTTCCTTCATAGTCACTAGAGTTCACTTCAAAATGGCTTCCCAAGTGACTTCTCACTTGCCACCTAGAAGCAGCCCAGCATCTGGGAACCAGGATGGCACGCGGCCTTCCTTCCTCTGTGAAGACAAACAGTCCACAATATCACAACTCGGCACTCTTCTGGTTTGGGGAAAGAGTATCACCCTCGTGCCAGCAAGCTGACTAAGAAATTAAGAGGAGATACAAAAGGTCAACCAAGCAAAGACAAAACTAGAACGAGGACTCATCAAATTCTTCCCAAATGGCTTTTTATTTTTGAACAAATTTTTGAAATTCTAGAAAATTGAGAATATGAAAGAGAAAATTACCTCCCGTTCTCTCATCAATTCAACTTTACTATTCCTATATTACCTTCCAAATATTCTTTCATATGCACATTTTATAAACTCAGCATACATATAACTTTTAATTCTTTATTCATTTATATGTACATCTTTTAAGTGTCATTCTAAATGACATGATGTCACTAAATACTATTCTGTGCCTTACCAAAGTTACTTAAACATTTCACTCTTATTAACATCTGATGGGAGGCTCCCACTCTGGGATTTTAAATACCACATCAACTGACAGCATCTCACAGTGACAGAATTATATCTTTTTATTGAAAACTTTCCTTAATGTAGTTATATTGCCATTATAAGGAAAAGGAAAAGGAATGTCATAACCAATCTGTGGAGCATACATGTTAAGACTAGAATGCACAAGATAATAGTGAAGCCTAAATACTCGTCAGAAGTGAGCCCAGCAGGTCATGAGACAGTCACACTGAGTAAGTGCACACACACCCTGTGCTCACAAGCATTCAGGTCCCTGCAAACCAGCCAGCACACACAGCAGGGGCAAGGAAATCCAACTTACTAATTTATAGTGGAAGCATATAGAACCTAACTCGGGGTGGCTAAAGGGTTGAGTGGGGGCATCACTGGTGCAGGACAAGCTGGAGACACCAAGGCTGCTGGGACCTAACTACAGGCTCCACTGCGTGGTCCCTCCTTGAGAGTTGCTTCAGACACTCCCCAAAGAGGAGACAGGTTCTTCTGAGAGCCATGGACACCAATTGGAGACATTCAACAAGCTGTGATGCTGAGCAGTCAAGGAGCAGTGACGCTGCACACATCTAACACTGCAACTCGGAAGAGACTCAGCAGTCAAGGCCATGATACCACTAAGAGCACACTACCCTGCTTCACATGACTCAGCCTATCAGCAGCAAGCCCCTCCACCTAGATGAGTTTACTGCTGTACTTTTTAGAAAGCCTCCTTTAGAATTTCAGTTCCAATACTCTGAATTATTCCCTTTAGGGATAATTACAAACAGTGAGGGCTTAGGGGCTGGACAGAAAAGGAAAGGTGGGATAAAAGGGAAATTTGGTTTCTGCACTGAAGCCTTGGGACGGACAGAGGAAGGAAAGAATGCACACCCGGGCAACACTCGCGGCTCCTGGGGGAGTGAGGGGTCCAGGGCATGTGCAAGGGGTGAAGGGCAAAGCCCAGAGCTGCGGCAGGAAACCGCAGGAGGCCCAAATAAGACCTCAGCTAAGAGGAGGTGGTGTCCGAATATAAAGTTACCAAAGTATCAAAACATCTCCAGTCTAAACTAAAATCACAAAACAGTTAGAAGTATTAGGCCTTTAGAGAAAGGAGTAGGTTTTTGAAGCCTTAGTGTCCATGGTCTCTGAAAGCTGGAGCTTCCCAGAAGCAGGAAATGAGAGAGCGGCAGCCTACAGCACCCGGGACACCGCCAGGAGATCAAGGTCATTGACAAGTGTGCCAGCATCGTCCTCAAGTGGATGTTAGGTGTACACACGCACACACACAGAGACACTAATAAACTCAAACGCGACCTCAGATCTGTAGGGCTCCTGCCACCATTCTCCTACCCCCGGGGGCACCGACAGTTAAAGACAGTGACCATCAGCTGCATGGGACAGAAGACTTAAGGCAAAAATCTCACTGATCTTTCTTATATATAAACATAAACACCTGCCTGGAGAGTGACATCCACCAGCTCCCCCTTGACTGACACCTGCTGCCCCTGTCAGATCTTTCCCAGAGGATGCTCCCCAAATCTCAGCGACAGTGAAAAAGCACATCCATTTCATAATAATGCTCCCATTTACACTGCTCTGCTCAAGACCGGGATGTTATTGAGTATTGTGTTTGCTGTTTAGAACAGAAGAATTTGTATGCGTGGTTTTTAAGTGACTGTGGTTCTGCCGTCATTTTAAACATAGCTGAAATTTTCAGTTCTAGTTACTGCGCATAAAACACTCAAATAAATACCTCGCACGTGCTCAGTGACTACGTCACCGTGATCAGTGACACTGGCAGACTCGTCTATCTGTCAGCTCCCTGAAACAAACCTTCTTCTCCTGTTTGAACACACTGAAGGCCCTGGGCTCATTCTTCGCACTATAACTGGCAGGTGCTGTGCCTGTGCTGTTGGTGCTGCTCAGCGGAGCGACGGCCATGGCGGGCCCTGGAGGAGCGAGGCCCTGAGGTGCGGGGGAAACACAGTCTCAGATTCACACTGCGCTCTGACCGCTCCTGCGAGGGACTGGGGACGACTAACACAGAGATCATGAGGCTCTCAACATTCAACTTATTCTGTAAAGACGCGTCACACATAAGCAATAGTAATAAATAATAGTTACTTTAAAGCAGAAAGTACCCTTTTGAAGTATTTCTATGAATTAGCTATAATCAACTTGCATTATGTTCACTAAACTAAACGTATAAACCTTATTAACCTTAGGCCAGCCTCACGTTGTCCTAGAATGAGGACCTTCTACCTGCGTGGCTCCTAATTTTTGTTACTAATGAATACTTGTCAATACCTGATGAACAAGCACTTCCATTTTCTTACCTTTGAAAACATTCAACTTGAACAATATTTAAATTAAATGAATTTTTTCAAGGGTTCAAAAATTGCAATAATTTATACACGTCTGTATTCAGCACAGACACCCCTCCCCCAAACACAAACATGCGCGCACACATCCCTATCTACCTCCCAGAATCAAGACACAAAGACACACAGAACTTTCTAATACACCATTGTATCTCCACAGTTCTCTATCTCCTCAAATTCCTTTAACACACACATAAAGGTAATACCATACAAAAAGCTTGTAGCAGACTCAAATAATACTTATGGATATCCAGGTCACTATACATAACTATGATAAAGACAACTCCATCTTACTTGATAATGCACTGTCACCAATCTGTTCTTTATCGCAACAGAAAATAATGTACACTTAATCATAAAAAATCTTTATACAGAGGACCCCTGAGGTTCCCTTTCTTGACTGCCCTTCATTCTTCATTACGGTAAGTATTTTTTCCTTGAAAATAACATTATGTCATAAAGCAAACGTCATTAACAGACGTTAAATGGAGGGCTTATAAATGAAATGTACTACTTTTTTAAAATTTGGAAAATGTCAAGTATAGTTGGCGGCCTAAAAAAAAAAAAATCAAAAAATTTTATTTCAACAGAATTGAATAAGTGATCAAATACGATTACTAACAGTTAATCTGAAACCACACTCATCCTAAAAAAACCACGAACACTAACTGGACATCAGATTTCATAACACAGAGATAATCATAACAAGAGTTAACAACTCAGAGAACTGCGCTTGCCATGAACTCACTAAAATGCACCAAAGACGTGCTCAGGGTCCTGAGGACTGGGGGACCACAAGTCTTAGCACCTAAAAGCACAACTGTCCAAGAAGTGTAACAGTATCCCTTTTTATTCTAAGACAAAAGAGTTGGACTCCTAGGCCATTCTATGTATGATCCAAATCAGAGACCTATTTCCCAAAAAGAAGCCCTTATTTTAATGATGGTTCAAATACATTATGACTGTTTCATTGCAAAAATGACTTCCTTAAATATTTTTTAAAAAATGGACTCAACCACTATACTAGCACCTTTCCTACAACATAACCAAAAACTTCATTTTCTTAGTTATATATTTGGCATCAAGGTTCTAAAAACCCTAAGGAAATCAACAAGATAATAACACACTCTTTTCCAACTGTCTTTAGGAACAGTAAATGCCAAGAACTAACAGCATACCTAAAAAGACACGAATCCTCAAACAGAGTGCCTTACCTAATGTGTTTAATTGACCATATACTTCTCTGGGGTGGCTCAGGGAGGTGGGTGAGGAGCTGTGGGCAGGGGTGAGAATGGGATGGAGTACCAAACATTAAGAAATACTGAGTCAACATCACAACGCTGAGACCTGCTGCCTACACCAGCTCTGAGAACAAAGCATAACAACTATGATAGCTACTGCACCATCTATCAGCTTTGGATATTAACTAAAGCTTTCTAAATTGATTACTAAAGGTCCTAAATTCAGATGGGCAACTCTTCAGAGTGAATGTGGAAGGGGCCGCTAACTGGCATGGGCTTCTCTTCAGCTCCACACACTAAGCACTGAACACAATGTGACTGCCATCTGGACGGAGCTGTGTATTAAACCACAGGCTATCACCAGCAACTTGGTCAAGACTAAATTGAATTTTGCTGAAATTAACACACTTTTAAAAACATATAAACAAACAAACTAAACAAATAAGAGATCAAACCATGTCACCATACAAATTTACTACACAATAACTGTAATTATATACTAAAAAATGCTTCATACTTTACTTCTAAAAATATATGCTACTAACTGTTTAGAAGTGTGTTTTCCTTGAATAAGGGAGTGTCCTCTTTAATCAATTTGTGTAGTCTGCATTCAACTTCATATGGCACCTAACCAATTTATCTGTAGTAAACTGACAAACTTTATCTATGCAAAACACAACTCAACCATGCCCTAATTCCCTAATAAACAAAGTTCTTACTAAAGTGAAGACACATATACAGAAACAGGGTATTAAGTAATTTCATAACTGTACCTATGGATGCTAGAAAGAAAGCAGTATGTCAAAGACACTATGATCTTAAAGCAGTTTCATTAACATCGTCTGTAGTTAACACTGAACTGGAAATGCCAAGATACCATTAGGGTCTTACCAACAGGGTCTTATCACTACATGAATAAAGCATTAGAAAAGAGGTGTTTCAAATGTATTTCTACACACGTGTGTGTATCCATACATATATATATAAGGTTTCATCCTTAACCATTGTAACAAATACACAAAAACTTCGTAGTGTATTATAAATTATTTTGTGTATAAATACTCCAGGTTTGGTTACTTTGATGCTTCACATTTTCTATAAAGATTCTGACACAACGGCAAGCTGACACCTCGACAGGAAGTCAGTAATCAACAATTCAGAGAGCAGGTCTGGGGCAGGCTGCGTCCACTTCAGTGATCCCTGTGTCACAGGGGTTCCTTGTAGAACCCGCAGGTTAGCAGCACCGCAAGAATGAGTTTAAGCAGGAACAGTTTCCAAAAGAGTATTTCACAGAACACCTGGTACCAACATTACCTCTAAGAGGCTGAAACACAAACGGGTTTAAGTCCATCAGTCCACAGAACACACAGCAAAGAGGAGAAAAGGAAGGAGGTGGCAAAGCTAGTGGAACATACTGTCAGAAGGACACAGAGAATGGATGCTTCTAACCTAAGAGAAAGACTGAGAACTCCACCACCAAATGTATCAGCAAATATCAAATGAGCGCCAAATACCTCTAACACAATGAAGCAGGAATGACAGAATCACCATTACGCAACCTTAAGTGAATTAATGGACCTAAACCATGTTTTCTCACTTTCGACTTGACTGACATTTAGGGCTAGAGAATCTTTGCTGCAGGAACAGTCCTATGCGCTGGAGAAGTTGAGCAGTGTCCCTGGCCTCTACCCACTGGTGTCTGTAGCAACCCCCCCACCCCAAGGGCTGTGACAACCAAAAATGCCTTCAGACATGGACCAATGTCCCCTGGCTGGGAACCACTGTCTACACACCAACAGCTGCTAGCTTCAAAACAAAAAAGACACTATGTGCCTCCCTGAAAGAACAGATAATCATCTATACAGCAGTCCTCTCTCTCCCTCACCAGCAAAAAATGAGCCTCAATTTAATCCAGTCTCTAGATTCAATTATGGGAAATACCAAAAACAGCAGTTAAATGACACCTGAAGGATGCAACCAACAAAACCCAGGCTATAGGAGACTCTACAGGACAAACCTGATTTAATAAACAATTTTCAAGAGGAAAACAAGGGAATCTACAGTTTAAGAGTCTTAAGAAATATATCATCCAAGAGCAGTATGTTTGATTTCAAATCAAACAAACTACAAATGTCTAGATGACACTTGTGACTCTGCCTGGCAACGTGATGTTAATGATATATTAAACTTTTAAAGACTAATGACAGTGTTGTCTTCACTCTTCTACTTTTCTTAACATCCTTAGCTTTGAACAATATATACTGAAACAATAACGATTGAAATGAATTATGTCTGAGATGTGACTTCAAACAATATGTGAGATGGGATGTGATGGAGATGAGATAAAATCAAACTGGTCATTGTTTATAAAGCTGATTCACAAGGGTTAACTTACTGTTCATTTTTCTAGGTATTTAAAGTTTTTCATAATCAATTGCTTTAAAAAATCATTACCTTTAGCAAGTATTCCCTATAATTTAATTGGTCAGTAAAAACTATACTGCAAGTCCAAGTAGTTCAATAAGTGCAAATCCTTCTACAGCTAGTATATCAAGCTCAGGATCAGATATTCCCTGGAGAACTTTGAAATTGCTGAACACACTCCAGGTTTCTAACAACCTGCTCTGAAAAACTTCTAGGACCAAACTACTTTGGCTTTAGCTCCATGGTGCGGGAGCCCTGGGCTCACCACGCAGTATCTGTTCAAGCCTTTAGCAAATTCAAAGCCACTCGGCTGGATAATCTGGGCTGGTCTCTGTCTGGTGAACCTGCTACCTCCCTGTGTAAGGTGGAAGATGGCTGGGCCCATCTATCATAGTCATATCATTTCCCTCAATTTCTGGTTTGGTTTCCAATACTACTCGGGTGCCGGCCCTTTTCAGACTATAATCTCAAATGGTCTCCTATCCAGAGCACAAGAGAAGTCCAGTTGAAAGACAGCTCTGTGCTTATTAAACAACTGTAAAAATCGCATAAAACTCATAAAAGTGAGAAAATACCCAAACGTGTTTTTAAAATAAGTCAACCCTATTTGAATGAATTCTACTTCCTGGAATACATCTGAAGGAAAGGAAAGCGCTATGTGGAAGAGAAATTGCACCTCCATGTTCACACAGTAGCATTATCTACAACAGACAAGACATGGGAACAACCCAAGTGTCCATCAAGAGAATGGATAAAGCAGTTGTGGTGTATATGCACAGACTGGAATGCATGTACACAATGGAATATTATCCAGCCATTAAAAAGGAAAGCCTGCCATTTGTGACAACATGGATGAACCTCAGGGGCATTACACTAAGCGAAGTGAGAGCAAGACAAATTCTGTATGGTGAGCTCACTTACACATGGAATCTTAAAACATCAACAACAACAAAGCCCCAAACTCTCAGAAACAGAGACCAGGTCTGTGGCTGTAAGAGCTGGGTATGGGGAGGAGCAACTGGATGAAGGTGGTCAGAAGGTACACACTTCCAGATAAGCAAGAACTTGGGATGTAACATAACAGTATGGTGACTACAGGTAACACTGCTATGTGCTATCTGCTCTCGAGAGCAGATCCTAACAGTTCTGATCACAGGGAAAACAGTGTTTTTTTGGTAGCTATATGAGACGACGGATGTTAACTAAACTTACTGCAGTAATCATTTCACAATGTATGGAAGACTAGTCTTTATGCTGACACCTTAAACTTATACAGCATGTCAACTACAGCTCAATTAAACTAGAAATAAAACAAGTCAACCCAGACAATGTGCTACTGTGCTTTCTTGGTTCCGGTAAGAACTACCCAAGCTATTAGTCTTCTGGCAGCCTCGGCAAAAAAGAAAGTGCACTCTACGTGGGAAGTGTCAACTTCATCAGTGCTGTTGCACCATCAGAACCTCACTCTCCAGTAAGAATATGTGTTCACATTCTCTGTCTTTGGCAAATATTCCAAAATCCCCTTTAAAAGGCATTAAAAACACAATAAATTATTTGTTCAACACCTAATTACCACTCAGGCATTTTTTCATTTCAGTTTATCCTCAAAGAGAAACACAATAATTGAGTCCATGTATTTAACTTGCAAGTTTACTTTTCAACAGGGCAAATGGCCTCCAGAGCAGACAATAGTCATGTCAGACTGTAACCTAGTATGTGCCAAACACAATGCTATGTGTTCATATTACTTTATATGTTAAATCACATGCACACAAATCTACCGACCCTTCAAGTCCCTCCTAAAAACCCCAGAAAAAATTCAAATTTGCATTTCAGAAAAGGAACAGAGAAGTGACCACAACCCATTCTCTAAGGCTACTTTTTAAACTCTGCACATATAAACATCAGTCCTTCAAGTTTTATTTGCCTCACACTAATCAAAACACAACATAAAAATCATTTACTAACTCAGATGCATTTTGACCAATAGTGAAAAAAATATGTGGAATAGCCAAATCTGAAATAAATGTTTGTCCATGTAAATTAAATCTTACCCCCAAACTGCAGGTATATAGCTGCCAAAAAGCAGCTTATGTCTATAACTTAATCATATTTATATATACACGTCTTATTCTAACAAAGAACTTGTAGCGGTTTAAGTGGTAAGATTTTGGTAGGAAAAGATGATTCTTCTCCATCATGCAGCTTTTTAAATTATTTCTTTTTCAATCACACTTTTAATCAAAAGTATCTAAAAGTACTTTTCTTCTTGAACAAACAAAATGTTGTAACATGAAAAGAGCATGTCCACATGTTTTTTAAAAAAGCCTAAGCACTGAATCTAGAACAGCTATATCATACATCACACACCCACCAAGGCCAAAACCAGCAGCAGCAAGTTAAATCTCAGTGACTAAGAGCTGAGCAGCTTCCAATTTTCTTGAATTTTCCTACTTACCAATTTATCATTTTCATTGGGCATTTCAAATACACATCTCAATTTAGAATCCATTAATTCGTCAGGTTTTGCTTCTTTCCACTAAAAACACAGGAAACCAAACAATGAGACAGAGGAAATACAATTGCAAGAAGTAGGTCTCCTCTCAAGGGATAACCAAAGGGTTAGTGTAGCTGTCTGGAGGCAGGGGTTGGGGGGTTTCCAGGTGCCACATAACTTTCTACAGAACCTTACAAGAGCTACTGTCACCACCATTAAAACCATACTAACATCCCTAGAGATTACAGGGCTTCACCGTTAAGCAGTGCACTTCTAAACCGTCTCTAAGAAATACGACTTCAAAATTCCTTTATTCTTGACATGAGTTAGGATTATCCATAGTGAAGACATACACAGATTTTTTTTTAATTTTAAAAAGTAGGTTTCTCAATGAAGAACTAAACAAAACCCAAGTTTAAACAACATTCCCCCAAAAGATTTCTGTTCAATTTCTCTACTCACCACAGCTTCCATGTCTGAAATGTTTGGTGGAGCAAAGATGGTCTGTACCATAAACTTGTGTTTACTCTTCTCATTGGGGTCATAGTCAAAAGGCTGCAGCATTACTGAAGAAGAACGGACACATCACTGACTTTTGATCATTCCTAGTACTCACTAATTTGCAAATTAAAGAAAACCAGGAAGGTTGCAAGAAACACTGGATTATTAAAGTTGATTCAGAACTTTATGATTTTCAATTATTTTTACCTTGTCTACGTTTTTAATTTGCTACATCTTTAACAACCCACAAAATAAACAAATGGCTATTTTAAAAAATAAGTATCTATGATTGCCCTCTCTAAACTTAAGTTTGGAAAATTTTCAAAACTTTGCTAACATTAACTATTACAATGCCTATAAATTCAAAATCTAGTAAATTTGTATTTAAAACCACTTAAAAATTTAGTTTTCACATTAGTATTTAGTGATAACAGCTCTTAAAATCAGACAACTAAAATATTTATAGGAGAAATTCTAGGTAACTTAAAACTCACTACCATTTATTAGTGCTTCGATATAATTAGCTTTTTCTAAAATAGATTTTAAATAAACACCTATTCAAGATTTTATCAGTGTGTTTAAATGAGTCTAAGACAACAAGGTGTACAAGGAAACCATACAGCCTCATGATTTCTGAACTTTTTCTACTGTCCTACTAATTATATTTAAAATTTTTTCCCAAGCATTTATGGTTTTCAGTGGCATACAAGAGGTTTTTTAGAGGCTCGGTGTGGTTTAAATTATGTAATATAAATCTAATAAGAGACTATAAAGAATGAATCAGCAATTTCACAAAATATGTACACAGTACTGTGGAGTTAACTTCCCTGCTAATATTTAGATTATTTCTAAGATAGATGTCAACATTTTCAAAAACTCAGATGCAATTAAGCAAATGTAAAAAATGCACAGGATAGGGGGAGTCGCTGGTGGCTCAGTGGCAAAGAACCTGCCTGCCAATGTAGGAGACATGGGTTCAGTCCTTGATCCAGGAAGATCCCACCTGCCTCAGGGCAACTAATAAGCCCTTGCACCACTATTGAGCCCACGAGCCACCACTACTGAAGCCCGAGCACCTGAAGCCTGTGCTCTGCCCAAGAGAAGCCCCTGCAATGAGAAGACTGTGCACCGCAAGGAGAGAACGCCCATGCAGCGACAAAGAACCAACAGCCATAAATAAATAAGCAAAATTATGGGGAAAAAAGAAAACGCACAGGATAAACGCCCAGAATCCTGATAATGCACAATCTAGCTCCAGGAACACCTTTCACTGAGCCACCACCCCAGGATATGCACTAGAAACTGCATAAAAAGAAAACTTCAAAGATGTGACAGACCTCATCACAAGAGAAAGACAATCTTAATCCATAGAAGTGCGTGCTAGAGTGAGTATGCAGAGCCAATCAAGGAGGGGGGCTGGAGGGAGTGTGACTGGAGGCCCCCTCACCCACTGCGGCGCTGCACCACGCTGGAGCGCCGAGTTTCAAGGGGAGGAAAGGCGTCTAGGATGCATGTGGACACAGGAACCGGTGTGCTTGGAGAAGCGCACACACCTTCTTAACAAGCACTGACACTGGGAAAGCTCAGTGAATCAGCTCCCTCCAAGAAAGTCACTATGAACAGCTCCTTGGATTCCTAGGGGTACAGCTGCTCACGCCAAAATCCATTTTTAACCATGTGGATAGAAATTATTTTATCTTCTTCCAATTGAGCTGCAGGCCTGTGGCCTTAGAGAGCAACTTTCAAGGCACACGTGCCCACTGCTCACTCTTCTCACTGCCCGCCACCTTTCCCATGAACTGACGGCTTGAACAAACACGACAGCAAGCCTGCCCAGCTGCCACATCATAAAACTCCTTTTCCAGGGCCTCCAGGCTCTGCGTGTGGGGCTAGTTACCAAGGGAGAATTCGGTGCCCCACAAGGCCTGATGGCAGCCTGGCCTCAACTGCCACTGCATCAGGTTCCACCGCGAAACCTCTCAAGGAGCCAGCCCCCAGCCGGCTTTGTGGGCCTGAAAACTGGAACACTGATACAGAACTGCTTAATATCTTGGTAATACCTGTCAGGATCACCCAGGCATACTCTGTATGCTTGAACACACACACGTCTGGGCTATATCCACAGAGGCTAATCTGGAGAAGCCCGTGCTGCTGTGACAGGCCTTCACAAAGGTGAGAGCCACGGCCAGAAAACGGGAGTAACTGGTCTTGGCGTGGGGCCTGTGAGGCACCACCTCAACTACCTTCCTGCCTGCACCGTGAGAGTGTCAGGAGGGGAGAACGAACAGTCTGGGGGCACTGGCTCTGCCCCAGGGCAGGTAAGCCATCCGCGTGAGGAAGGGGCCAAGCACGCACCACGGACTTCAAGGAACCACAGAAGGGGAACAGAACTGACACCGGCATTAACAAGAAAGGCAGAAGCCTCATCGACTATTACAACTTACTGGCCAAAGATATGCACTGTACATTCTTAACCAAAAGACAGAATAATCCCTCCATAGCTGCATGTAACATGTCACACTAGTGATATATGGGAGAGAATGAGCAAAGCCAAAAATGATACAAAATTTCAAAGACCAAATAATAAGGGCAGAGGATGTGGTAGTAAGCTGCAGAAATAAACAATGTAACATTTTAGACTCACAGTAACTGCTTTCAGTGCATCACACATACCCTCCCACTCCATCCCCAAACACACCCCACACTCCACCCCAAGAGAAGGGGAGACAGTTTCTGCAGCAGACTGCACACAGTGAGATGACAACATGAACATTTGCTACCTGAAACAGTCACAGTCAACCCGGGGTCAATGATCCCACTGTTGGGCCGCACACAGTACCGACGAGGCGCTGTCGTCTTCACTTTGAAACACACCTTTCGATCTGACGGATTTCGCAACTTAAGGTTTGTAGTGACTACATCTGTGAAGGGTCCTGTAAGATTTTAAAAAACAAAAACGGGAAAAAATATAATTGGATTCACACCCACACAAACACAGAATTCAAAACTGGAGAAACATAACCTCGACTTTATGTAGAGTGTGTACTGAAGTACACATACAGGTGGGGACTCACAAAGGGGCTGTGTTCCCTCCTTTGTTCCTAATCAACCCATAAAATCCCTACTAGAACTTTTCTTGTTTCCATCACGTAAAATGTGTTCTGAAAGTTTCACAACTTACGAAATAAGCCCCAAACTGTATTCTCCCAGTACATGCTTACCGCATTACTGAAAAGATCGGTTCTCCAGTGCTTTGCAAACCAGAGCCCGTCTTCAGACTCACCTGACCGAGCCAAGGACAAAGTCTCTCCACCTGAAGACAGCAGGCCCCGAGACAGGTGGTCCCACCCCACCTCCATCAGCTTTGATCCCCTCACTCGCTCCTTTCTCTCATGTTTGTCACGTTTACTAAGGTAACTGTGTCAAATGCTCTACATACAAAGGTATTTTTAAGCTTTGGTTCAACACCCAAACATAAAATTGCAAAACAAAGAAACCACAACGGTGATATACTCCTGCCTGATTAAGTAAATCTAAAACCATTGTTTGTTTTTTAAAAAAAGGGGGGGGGTAAACTGGGGTGTGGAGAAACAGTACAGTTCTTGGTTCAAGAAAAGCCTAAAGACATTTTATGCAGATTTAGACAATAAACTGAATACCGGTTAATTTGGAGACAGAAGATAAAACTTAAAAAATATGTCCCAATGAGAAGCAATAACCACACACTTCTCACTAACCCTAAAGCAATTTTAAGTGGTTTCTAAATGAAAAAAAAAAAACTTTAGAAGTCTGAAATCAAATTTCAAGGCTGAAATTAAATAAACGAGAGTAAACATGTCTTTTAAAACTTTAAAATGTTTCTAGTATGCTTTAAAATGTTTCTAGTAAGGATCCCAGACTGAGAAAAGACAGAAAATTCCCCAACTCTGCCAAATAGTTTCCCATTTTGCTGAGTAGTGGGAAATTATCTAAGACAAAGGCTTGAAGGGGAACAACACACACAGACAAATGAAGGACAGTGTGAGGAGGGCGGGGTAGAAAGTAGACCAAACTGATAAGAGGAGAGGAAAAGAGAGACTTCAAATGAAAGGCCAGGAAAAAGCACTTACTTCAAGTCCAAGGAGATAAATTAATTCTACTCTGTGCTTAAAAGTTTGAGTTATATTTTCTAACAAAGATTTGGAACTGGGATGAGAAGAAGGAGCTAGAAACAAGAGAACATTAGAAGAAAACACAAAAAAGGCAGAGAACCAGTTATAAAAAAATTTTTACCATGAAATAGGCATTTAAATCAACAAGTAGGCTTTTTTTTTTTAATGTATATACAATATACACAAGAACTACAATCTCTTGGACAGCTCGTTTTAATATCACGGTCGAGTCATTCATTGTATTTGCATATTATCTCACATCCTTGCTGCTCTTCCCAGCACTACTACTGCTTGCACGTTTTGACAAGCACCTGACCACCCCATCCCCACACACCCACCCAGGGAGTTAAGGGGAAAGCCCCCAGCTGTGCATTCTCCCACGTGAATCCACTGGTAAAATTATGAATCTTAGAGAGACAGATCCCATTTCCTAACATTCTCAAAATCCACAAGTTACTACAGGTAACTGAGAATGTCAATTTTTATGTTATTATTTCAACTAGGATTTTAACATTAGCGCAAAGTATAATTTTTAAAAGTTTGTTTTCAGAAGTTTCTTAGTAAAATAGCTAACATTTTACAAATCTTAATTTAGAACAATCCTATATTTTCATAACATAATTATGTAACCTTGTCATTTTAAATTCAATTTCTAAAATGTCCCCAATTTTAGAGGAAAGTACCAACTATTCAAAATAAGGTAAAATAACTGTTTTTTTAAAACTGATTTTTTAAATGACCATGTGTCAATTTTCATCAACATATGAATTCTGAAACATTACTCACATTTTTGATTGCCCATCAGGGAATATAAATCTTCAATTAATAGACTGTGATCTTTCTGGACATGAAAATACAAACTATCTAAAGATGAAAATAACATGTCAAAAGAAAAAAATTTCACTAAAACCAAATTCTTAACTGAATAAGTTAACCTCAGTAAAATGTAGAATTACCTGTAATAAACCCACCTAACAAATGAATTTGAGGTTTTCTGCACCACTTCGCCCCTCTAACGAAGTCTCTCAATAAGGGTTGCTTCCAGCAGACAGTTCAGAGTCCAAAGCCATCTTCCGGGTTAAAACGCAAAATCACTAAGTACTAATGACCACAACCATAAAAACCAGATTTATAGCTGGAAGCGGGTTCAGGCAGATATCTGTTACACTTCGTGGGTCACAGAAACTGAGAATCTCACAAAATTAAATGTAGGTGTTCTGACGTGAGGACTGGAGGAGCTGCTGTTGGGGGAAAGGAACAAGACAGCAGTGTTCTGTGATGACCAAGCAGACCTGCACAGTCAAGGACCCACCAAACCTTCACACACCCCTGCAGACATCCACACTGGTTAAAAAAAAAAAAAAAAATCTCTTTTCCAGAAATACATCTATTGCAAAAACTCTGTTCTCTTTCTCCAAAAAACTAAAACATGAGTTCACACCAATACAGAAAATTATTCTACCAACAGCAATGCCACTCAATCCTGCAACAGGTCTGGGACAGTCAGCACACGTGTGTGGGTGACAGTCATGTGAGTGCACCCACATGCATAAAGATTCTCTCAGCCTTATTTCAAGATGTTAGAGAAAACCAGTCAGCCTCCACCAGACAACTCTTGCCTCACTTCCCTTAAACCGAAGCTCACTTGTTGAAGGAGGTCACAGGCCATCTGGCTACTTCACTAGTCTCCCAGTACAGTCTATATAGATATAGTATCTATCTATCTATATACAGATACACTACATCTAGTATAGTCTATATAGGATAGATCTTCTAGTCTTCTAGTACAGTCTTGCCCAACACTTACATATCAAAATGCCTATTTTATTACAAATCCAGTTTCTTCTCCTGTATGTTACACAGTCAAGGCATATATTAAGATTTTCAACTATGTGCGTTAGTAGGTAATTCATACATGAATTTCATCTCAGAATGCAAAACTGGGCACTACAAAATATAAAATGTTAAAATGGGATACTGTGTCAAATAAGGTTAAAAACTACTGCATTCTATCAATACTCTCCAGCTTTACTAATATCCCGTGCAAAGCTTAGGTGTTTAAACTGTTTAGAAAAACATGAAAATGGTCACCGTAAAAAAGAGCTAGCTAGCTGTGCAGGGAAAGGAGGAGGGCTCTGCTGAAGCCAAGTTCCGTTTCTGAGCCTGGGCCGTGACTGCACGGCTATTAACTCTGATAATTCTATCAACTGCACATGGTTTTTCTTTTATGAAAAACAGTAAAGGGTTTTTTGGGTTTTTTTGTTTTATTTTTTTTAAGAAAAGATGACTCTTGGTATAACCTTAAAAAAAAAAAAACTGAAAAAACCTGTGAAAAGCACTTCTGATGAAAAAGTGAAACATTTGAAGCAAACTACATAAGAAATAGTATTCCCTGGTGGTTCAGACAGTAAAGCGTCTTCCTATAATGTGGGAGGCCCAGGTTCGATCCCTGGGTCGGGAAGAGCCTCTGGAGAAGGAAATGGCAGCCCACTCCAGTACTCTTGCCTGGAAAATCCCATGGACAGAGGAGCATGGTAGGCTATAGTCCATAGGGTCGCAAAGAGTCAGACATGACTGAGTGACCACTCACTCACTCACATAAGAAATAAACACTCATGTTTTGAAAATGTCTAGAACAATCCCTGTAACTGAGAGAAATCCAGCCGTGTGTCCAACATAAATGCTTAGTTTAACATTTAGAAACACAATTACTACAACAATCCATTTAAGATTACTTGGTAGTAAACTAATCACCAACCACAGATACCATCTGGTATTCCCTACTTGAGAGAGAAAATTTCACTGTTTACACGTAAAAATATTCCCCATAAAACAAAATTCCACACAATACAGATTACATTTAAACTCTTCTACCGAAAAGAAACAAAACAAAATCTAATTTTATTAAAAGTCTACCTTTTCATCACACAGGCTGCCCTCCTCTCCTCTCCAGCAGCCAGGCCACTTCGGGTCACCAGGTACTCCGCCCTAACTCTACCTGTTACCATTCCCCCTAAACCAGCACCCGAGCCTCAGCCCTGAACTGACAGAAATGTAATACACTTCAATGTGGGCTCAGAGTTAAAAAGCCTGGAAAAATTTGCACCCTCACACTTCAGAAATGTAGGAAAAGCTTAGGGCCACTCACCTGGAAGGCTGTCCTTAGGGAGACCAGCCTGACTCCTTTACCTAAAAATGTATTCCAGGCACGAAACACTGGGTATCTAAAATTCAGAGCAATGATTTCCTTTTAAATAGTTCTCCAAACCATCCAATCTTAAAGGAACCCAATTAAGCTAAAAACCGCTGAAAGTAGAACCACTCTGACTAAACAAATCCTTAAAATGTTTATCATCTATCCATATTTTGATGTAAATTGCTGTTAAAAGTTTTCTTTAAATGCTAGGCTTTGTTTAGTTACAAAGAAAACTGACTTGGGGGTGGGGGGAGGAGAGAAAATAGTTGCCTTTTCTCCCAGCACTTTGAAGAATTTCAGAGAAATAAAAATAACTCAACTGTAAATAGTCATACATGCATCACCTAGACTCTACAACTGACACCTGCTGTTATTGTAAGAACTAGCAACCTACCTAGCCATCTATGTCCATCCATCTTATCTTCCTGCACTCCAAGGCTTAACCGAAAACTCCTGAACACCTCAGCATGTACACCAACTTGAGTTCAACAGTATCTGCTTACTGAGAAGAGAATCAAATGCTTCAGGATACGTGGTCCTGAATACAGCATGGAGTATTACAGAAACAGAAAAGGTCTCTGGGATGCGACTCCAGAATAAACAGCTGTGTGCATGAACATTACCCTGCGAAGGCTGTGGCATCCTTTAGACCAGGGACTTGGAGGCCTGCTGACAGACCAGTCTCCATGGGTCCTGGCATTTCTGCAGCTTGATCAGTGCAGGCCCTGGGGGCTTTCACACAGACAGTCTTTCCGGGGATGTACAACAGAGTCAACAGCCCTGGAAGACAGTACCTCCTCCTGGAGAGTAGGCTTCTCTACTATCCGGCAAGAGAAAGCTCAGATCTTCCTCTGGAAAAAGGTCAGGCAGGCTTCTGTGCAGCACCATGAAGATTCAGGGCCCTACGTTCAAAGTTTCTCAGCTATGACACAAAACCACCACGTGGGCAGCACCCGCCTACACTGAAGCCCTGTGTGTCACCCCATGCAATGAAGGGCAAAGGAAACCAACGCAGCTATGAAGATGC